AGGGGGGGTGGAGGTGGTGGTGGTGGAGGGGGAGACGTGGCCTCCAAGTCGGGCAGGGGTGCTGCTGGTGATGTGGGGGTGGATGTCCGAGGCTCTGGGGTGGGCTGCTGCAAGGCTGTGTCCCCACTTGTACTTGGAGTTTTGTCATTTAGGGCCCTTCTGCTCTGTTGGGGGCTGTGCCTCCCATGCAAACCCAGGTCGGCCTGGACGCCCTTGTGGGCTTGGTCCAGGGAGCGAGGCTGGGACCGGGTCTTGGTGGACAGGAGCCGCTCCACCACCTCCTCTAGGGTACACTCCTGGGCTGTGGGCAGGCAGAGTCATGGAGGAGGGTTAAGGACTGAGGCCCCGCCCACAGCCCAAGATCCCTCCTGGGTGAAGCCCCTCCTTCAGCGAGGCTCCACCCATGGCTCATGGCCCCGCCCACAGGCCGAGATACACATATCCTCCCCACCCCACCAGTATGGTCCCTGAGGTCCTGCCTGGAGAGGCTTCACCCACAGACGAAGCCACGCCCCTTCCTGGGTGAGGCCTGTCCACTCGCGAAGACCTGGGGTGGGGGGCGCGGGCGCAGTGCAAGGTTCACGCATGCGCACTCACCATCGTTAGCCAGCAGGACTGCGCGGTTGACCAGGTTCTCCAACGCTTCCCAGAGCAACTGGCTGGCCTGGCGGCCGGGCTCCAAGTACAGGAGGCCCTGCAGCACCGACAGCAGCTGGGCAGATGCCGGTGAGCAACTCACCTGGGTGAACGGGATGCAGGTCAGGGGAGGACTGACACTGTACACATCCATGGGAGTGCGTCCGCCCACCCCCCAGAGCCCAGGAAACAAGCAGGCTCGGCAGGGAGTGGGGCTGGGCCTGCGTGTGGATCGGGGCACGGGGCGCCTGTCTCAGGGAGAACCACTGGACTCTAAGAAGTGGTCCAATGATGCTTCTCACCCTCTCAGATGCCCTGGTAGCAGCTGGTCCTCTGGCCACCGTGACCACCTCTGGTCAGTGGAACCCTGCCCTCCAAGTCGCCGAGGACAATGATTGGCGCCCAGCTTGGCTGGATACTCTAGTCAGACCCACCTTGTGGAACAGAGAGGCGAAGACCTCCTGGTGGCTGCTCATGTCCACGCCCCCCCACACACGCAGCAGCTCCTCCTCGTCCTCTGCCTTGGCCTCCTCGAAGGTCTCTAGCTGGATGAGCAGGTCAGCGTCCTCCATGTCCCTGATAAGGGGGCCGGTGCTGAGTGGAGGGCCCCGGAGGGACTCCTAGCAGGGCTCAGGGCTGATGGGTGAGCTCTGTAGTCAGGCCCAGGCCCACGTGTGGCTGGACTCTGCACACGGTCATCAGGGAGCCACAGGGCTTCACAGGTGAGCCCCTTCTGCCTGAGAAGGGGGCAGGCTCACCAGGCCCTGGGCTGGGTCTGTCCTGAGGCCCAGGCAGGGGGGAGAACCAGTTGATGCCTGGGTGAGGGAAGATCCTTGTGCAGGCCCCCTGTGGCCCGGGGAGGGTGGGGCTGCTGGCCGAGAAGGCCAGCACTGAGCCGTTACTGGGCCTATGGGTCACCTCCCTTGGCCAATGCACCAAACCCTCAGATAGGTCAGTCCCCTCCTAGCCTTGGCTGGGTCTGGACCCACAGCAGACGTCCCTGAGGCCAGGGCACCAAGAGCCAGCGAATCAGTAGTCAGGGGGCGGGCCTGGAAAGGGCCCTGCCAGGTGTCTGGTCTCAAGAGGCTGGGTTCCTGGCTGTGTGGGTTTCTGGTGTTGATGGGGATACACAAAGTTAGCAAATAAAAACACAGGGCTCCCAGTGACTGCTCATGTCGGGGACGAGCTACTTGTCACTCCCTCATTGCCATTGAGTGGCCACTGGCTCACAGCGACTCTACAGGACAGGGTGCAACTGCCCTGTGCGTGTCCCAGGCTGTCCTCTCAGAATCCTTGACCTTGCAGTTAGCAACTAACGGGTAACCCACTGCGAGGGGTGCCCATGCCCAGGAGCAGGAATGGGCAGGCACAGGCAGGTGTGGCTTGGGGACTCACCTCAGCCTGGTCAGGACGTCCAGCAACTGCAGCCCTGGAGAGAATGGGAGTCATTGGCCCGAGGTGGCCCCTGGACAGCCCCTCTCCCTCAGACCTCCCCCCACCTCCATCCAGAGTGCCCAGCCTGGGGCCGGATAGGTGGGGACACCTGGCTTTGGCCCTAAACTCTGGTGAGACCCCAGCTGGCCTTCGCAGGGTCCCTGGGAGACGGCGGGTGGCGCCAACTGGCGAGCAATTACCAATGAACTCGTTGCGGAGCTGGCTCCGTGTTCGGAGGTTCTCGGGGCCCAGGATGAGGGCGTTGATGACACTCAGCAGAGTGACCACGTACGGGATGTTGTCGCTGTCGGCCAGCTCGCTCATGATGACGCTGAAGCGGTACTGCTGGCTGCACACCGCCTGAGGGAACCTTGGGGTCAGACAGTGGTCCCAGCCTGGCCCTGTGCCCCCTGCCCCTACTCACCTTGTAGTGGTCTAGGGCGTCCAGCGTCAGGGCGTGGCCCTCAGGCGAGTAGATGCACAGGGCGGCCAGCAGCTCGAACACCTGCTTCTTGACCATCACGTTGGACGTGTCCAAGGCTGTGGGGAGTAGGGGCCTCTAGCAGCTAATTGTGGCCACCAGCCCTGCAGCACCTGGCCTGGACGTCCCTGGCCTGTCTGGGTCTGACAGCCCACCAGGGGCCGCTCTGCACCTTACACTGTCCACCCCAGGGCTGGGCCTCCAGGCCGTGGTGGGACCAAACCCCCTCTGGTGGCTGAGGCCTGACCACAGGAACTAGTTCTCTATCCTCACACAGTTCCTCAGTCCCAGCTGGGACACCTCATACCTCCAGCCTGCCTTCTACCTGATTCCAGAGCCCCCAAGGTTCTGGGGGTGACTCTGCAGAGGGCCACAGCCATGCCCAAGCTCCGGGGACTGCTGTCTGACCTCTGGATCCTGCTGCTGTCTTCCCCCCACTGCTGCCCCCTATCCCTCTGACCACCCTGGAGTCTCACAGCCCAGCAGGCAGGGACACAGAGAGACTACTGCCCACCAAGGGTCCCTTGGGGTGCCCCTGTCCCTAGGGCTCAGGTGCACAGGATGCCAGGGACTCTAGACAAAAGAAACCTTGGGAGTGCTTCCTGGAGGAGGGGGCAGCTCAGAGGAGAAGCCCGACTTTGGACCCTTGCACACAGGGAGCTGGCTGGGCAGGGGGAGGGGTGGGGTGGGTAGAGGACGATGCTGCCTGCAGGTGTGGGCTGGCCTCCCCAGGGGGACTTGTGAGTTTTCCCCAAGTGTTGTGTGCCTGAGGGGCTGCGGGGCGGGAGGGGGGGTCAGCAGGACAGAGGTGAGGGAGGAGGTGTCCAGAGTTCAGGCCAGGGGCTGGGCACAGGGCACCCTCTCGGGTGGGCGGCTTACCCTGGGAGAGCTGGCGCACATAGCCCTGGTTGCTGAGGATGTACTCGAGGCCCTGGCGGGAGTTGAGCACAGCGCGCACGCAGCCCACACAGGTGAGCTGCAGCAGCGCGTTGGCGATGCGTGCCAGGCCTCGGCCGGACAGGCGGGCCAGGGCCTCGAGCAGCAGGTCCAGGCCACTCTGCTCCAGGAACTGCACCATCCAGCCACCATCGCTGCTCTCCAGCCGTTTGCGCAGCCCGGAATAGTTGACCACCGACGGCATCTGCAGCAGCCGGATGCATAGCTCGGGGTCCGCGTTCTCCAGGTTGGCCTCCGTGGGGTCCGAGTCCTGTGGCCCCAGCTTCTCCTTGAGGGCGGTCCACCTGTGCTGGGCACCCCCCTTCACCGACATCTTGCCGAACTGCGGGGTCCAGAGGAGGCAGAGCTGTTGGCACTAGGGTGGTCGGTCCTCTGCCCCATTTCCTCACCTGCCAGGCAGCCATTAACACGCAGCGGCTTGTGCCAAAGCTTTTCCCCACCACTCCCCCGTCCTGGGGGAGGTGGCCGTCGATCTGCACCACAGCCCACTCAGGGGGTCTTCAGAGGGAAAGCCTGGCAGTCTAATCCTAAAACCGCAGCCCTGAAAGCCCCAGGGGACCTGCAGCCCTCTGTCCCTGTGCATTCTAGCGACCCAGCTCAGTTACCACAGCAACCCCGCCCTGTGGCCCTGTGCTGAAGACCAGGTCAGAAGCCCAGGCTGACCACCCGGGGCTGGATCTCATGCCATCCCTGAACGTGGGATATGGCCCCGCCTGCAGAGTGGAGGACAGCTACCCTGCCTAGTTCACACGACTGGCCCCGGTGGCCTGGCAAGAGCCAGGGTGGCCCTGAGGTTGCTAGGAGTGTCTGAGGGGTGAGTGCCGGACCCTTCCCAGGCCGCCCACAGCCTCAGGAATGGAGGCAAGTGCCCAGACAGCAGGCTGAAGGGGCAGAGTCACTCACGGGAGCTGGCCTGAGGGTCAGCACGTGACTGCATGCCCGCCCACGGCCCCCGGGCACAGCCCTGCACACACCAGCCACCTCAGGGTCTTGGTTTGTCCGCTAGGTGTGGGCAGGGGACTGATATCCCCCAGACCCTCCCTGCCTGGTGTAGTACCATATCATCAGAGCCTCATCAAGAGAATATCCTTCCTTCCCTTACCCGATGCGCCACAGCCTCCCCAACCCCCCCTACAGATCAGGATGGCTAAGCTGTTCAGAGGGGTCACATGATGTGTGTGGCCAGGGAGTGGGGTGGGGGGAGTGGGGGGCGGGCAGGCGAAGGGGGTCCGACGGAGGCGCCACCTCTGCTGGTATCCAGGCCCCTCTCCCTCCCGGGGCCCTGGATGAAGCAGGGCCAGCAGAGACAAGGTCCCCAACCACAGCCCCTGGGGACGGCCTCCTAGGTCGGGGCCCTCCCAGGCTTTCCCTCAGCCTTGTATGGCTGCGGTCTTTATTTAGCCTCTGGGAGCGGCTGTGCGGTGCTGGGGGAGGCCTGCTCAGGACCCGGCTCCCTCACTCCCCCCCACCTCACTGCCACAGCCACCCCCTGGGCAGGTGTACCACACCCCCACTTCACAGATAAGCAGACAGCAGCAGCACCCAGAGAACTGGTCACACCCCCACAGGCCTGCTTTTTGACTTTGGGGTGGGGGTGTCTGGAGCAGCACAATTCACTAAGTGCCAGGGCCCTGGTGGGAGGGGCTGGCTAAGTTCTCATGGGGCAGTGGGCCTAGAATACAGGTGCCTGGCCCTTGACTCCCTGGCCCCACACCCTTGCCTGGCTCACCCTCGAACCAGGGGGTGTCTTGAGGTCCCTCTACTGAGGGCCCCGCCCCTCTGCCCTGCTGTCCCATCAGGATCAAGGCACTGGCCTGCCAGGCATCTGCACTGTGACCACCTCTGCCTTCAGCGGGGCGGTGCCAGGGAGTCCTACCTGTCCATCCGGTGCCCTGTGGGGCTCGCTGGGTGGAGAAGGGCTCCGAACTGGACTTGGAGCCTGCTCTGGCCTGGCCCTCCATCTTGCCTGAGCCTCAGTTTCCCCACCTGTACCTCTTGAATCAGATTGCTCCTAGGGCGCATCCCTGGAGGCAGTGGACAGCCGGTGGGCAGTGGGGGTGGGGGTTTGAAGGGGATGTCTCAGCCCTTCCCAGGGGGCCTAGGAAGCCTGGTTGTACAGCAGTTAAAGCACACCGCTGCTAATTGACAGGTCCAAGTTTGGGGCTGGCCTGCCGTTCTGCAGGGAGTCCTGGCGTCTGCTCCTGGGCAGGCTCTGCGATGCTGCCCTGGAGGGTCACTTGCTATGAGTTGGCCTCACTGACCTGCAGTGGTGGTACGGGCTTGCAGGCTGCCTGTTGGGTGGGCTTGCAGGCCTGTTGGGTGGAGAGCCTGGTCCCCCACCCCACCAGATGGCTGTAAAAACCCTCCCGGGGCCCCACTCACCCATATTCTCAAGACTTTCCGACCACCTCTGTCCACCCACTCAGGGCCCTGCCGCCATCTGCTCCTCATAGCTTCCTGGCTTCCCATCCCTACTGGCCTGGAGTGTACAGATGCCAGTGGAGGACTGGCCCCGCCGGGCAACCCCGGGCCCCCCAAGGCCAGTAAGCGGGGCTGCTGCTTCCACCACCCCAGCAGGCACAGGGCTCTGCACAGGCAGGCCACAGGGGGCTGCTGCTTAAAGAGCCTCTGGCCCGCCCTTCCCTGCTCCTGCCTCCGCAGCCCTAGTCCTGCCCTCTTGGCACAGGCGGAGTGCGCCCA